AGAGATCCGATGCCGCGTTTAAATAACTGCATTTAGAACGGCGGCCTGGGCGTGATGGCGATTCGAGTCATCCGTGGCACTGTGGTGTTTCTCGCCGTAAGGGCTTCCTGGACGGGATTTGCCCATCCGGCCTCCCAGGGCTGTGCCGAGGAGGGGAGAGCTGCTTGGCCGAGAGTCTTTCGCTTTATGTGTCCTTCCTCCCGACGCTCCAGTTCCCAGTTTAATCGGTGTCAGTGGATTCTTCCTGGTCAGAGAAGTACTTAGCTGACGTCTTTACAAAAAAACAGAAAAGCCTATTTGCCTCCCAGTCCTCCAGCAGAATAGAGGGCAGGGTGGGGGTAAAAGGACGGATGCAGCCAGACGTGCAGCTGATGATCATCGAAGCGGGGGGGACGGGAGCAGGGCCGTCTTCATATGCTCTCCCTCCTCTATTTTTGTCTATGTTAGAAATTTTCTGTAATTCTTTGTAATCCGCAGAAGTGCTAGGAATTTCCACGAAGTGGTACCACTACCGTTCGGACTCGGTAGGTCTCCGTTACGGAGATCTCTGCAAATGGGCTGGCCTGCCAGCTCACCCCTGACCCCTCAAGTACTCCACACCCTGGACGACTGAGATGCCCACTGGGGGGTGGGCCACCCGGCCTAGACCTTCCCACCTGCCTGCCTTGCCTCTGCCAGGAATGCCCCCTTCCCTTCCACCCCAGCTCCGACTGCCAAAATCCCACCCGTGGGAGGCCTCGCTCGAAGGTATCCTGCTTTGCTACCCTCTGGCCAGAGCCCAAGGAATCACCTCTCCCTCGTTTGCGCCCCCGAACTTGGCTGGTAGTCTCCTGGGCACAGCTCCCTGCGCACGCGTAGCAACCCCGAGAACAGGAAGCACCCCAACAGCAGCAGCGACCGTGGCCGGAGTGTTGCTGTACAACAGACCCTTGGACTGTGCCACCACTTTTACAGCGCTCACAGTGTCTTCTGAGGTCATTACCTTCTACCATCACACTTTACAGAAGAAGATCTGGAGTTCAGGGAGGTCTGAGGGGTGAAACCAGCTGTGCCGTCACACATTCTCAGCCTTTGCGCCCATGATCCTCAGCTGTCCCACCAGAGTGAGGCTGTGTGAATTAAAGCCCAGCAGAGGCAGAATTCTAACTTTCGGGAGGGCCTGCGTGCCCGCGATCCCGGTAGGCACAATGCTGTACATGCCGTCCTTCCTACTGAATTTTAAGCACCTTCTGTGTCTTTTTCTTTTTCGTGTCTCCCCACACACTGTCTAGTTCAATGCCTCGTACATAGAGGATGCTCGACAATGTCTTGTTAATTGGACGCTGTTAATTCGGAGCATTCTAAGGGGCATCCTAGGGACTGTGCCCAGCGTCTGTAACCCACCTGCCGGCCTCCACAAGGGAACAAGACGGACAAATCAGCCAGAACTGCCGAGCATCTCCCACCTCCCCCACCGTCTTGTTCACAAGGCATAAAACTAGAAGAGTTTCCATCTTCTCCCTCCACTGGCCTTGTAAGTGACTGAGAACACTTTGTCCCGGTCCTATTTTTACGTAGCCTCCCAGCTGTGGGCTCCCTCCCCTCACTGGCGGAGCCGCATCCCTCGCAGCCAGCGGAAGAGCCAGAGGGGGTCCGACTCCACATAGGTGGGGACCCGGGAGTCGGGACTGGGGAGACAGGCTGATCCCCTGGTTCTGAATCCCCTCCCCCTTCATCCCCTTTCAGACTCCCAACCCTGCTTTCTTCCCAACCTAACACCACCGCATCACTGCTGCTGTTCTTGGACTGTATCCTGACCTTCTCCTGAACGCAACTATGCTCTCTGTGGCCCTAAAAATATCGGGGGGGTGTAGGCTCAGTTGCCTTCAATTCTTTCCCCTGAACCTCTCAACGTTCCTCTTCTTCTAGCTACAGCCGTGCTCCCCTGCCAGCACCCACCTTAGGCTCTGTTTCTGCAAGGTCTTCTCCTAGCTGGCTTTGAGGGCTGAGAAGGGACTGGCCGAGGAGAGGGGATGGGCTCAGGATACGTGAAGGGCCTCCTCTCCGTCTACCTCTTAATCCAGCTCCTACCATCCACACGAGCATCTTAACAGAGGAAATGAAAGGACTTCTAGTCCCAAAAGAAAGGTAGTCATGGTAAGGGGACCAGCTGGGATTTGGGGCAAAGGCTGGTCCCCACGGCTGGCTCTAGACGCTCCTTCTTCTGGGCTTCATAAGTCATGTTGCCATGCTGTTCACGGGATATGAACTCCCTACAGTTTCTTTTGTGGAAAGCTACTTGCCCTGGTTATAAATTTAGATATATTCAGAAAACATGCTGGGGTGTGTGTGTGTGTGTGTGTGTGTGTGCGCGCGTGTGTAAGCTCCTACCTATGGAGAGTAGGTGGGGCCACACCGAACTGGGATTTATCAAACAGCACTCCTGCTTTATCTAATGCCACTCATCCTGACAGCCTTGCAAGCTCAAAATTAATAAAAAGCATAAGGAAGCTGTGGCACAACCACCAACCAGAGAATCTTGGCCACCAGGCGAAATATCTAGTCATCTGTGTTGTACATTAAGTGCGAAGGCACATATCGCAGTTTGGGATTTAAGTAGAAAAATCAATGCCCTACAGGAAATCACCAGGTGCAGAGCAGATCTTTCTATCAGCCAGTGCGTCCTCTGTCACTGCCTTCTGATTACACACACTGTGTATTCCAGGCATCAATTTTATTTCGCTTTCATTTAGGTTACTTCGTTGTCTCCCTTTTCCAAGAAGCAGAGGCTAGGGGTGTGTGGGGAAGGCAGAGACCAGCAGAGTCAGTAAGATGGTCAGGGGCAATGTCCTGTCTATCTGGCCAGGGCGCTTCTGTTGGCACCCGGGGCCCAGGGAGCCGGCCTTCCAGCCATGTGTCCTCATCACTGGGGGGCCTGCAAGCAGCCTGCACCCTCCGTACCTTCTCTCAGAGCCATGGGCGTCCTCCACTGGCCTCTCCCACTGTAAGCCCGCCTCTGCTCTTCCATGCAAGAAGGCTCTTAGGCTAAGAAAGCACCGTGCAGTGGAACTTGCAATCTTCTCACATGGAGTCTAAAAATGTGCTCTAAGCTGCACTAACAAAACTCCAAGGGCGTCCTATTTCTCTCTTAAGAATGAACAAATCTCTTACATATGGAAGCATAACTTCTCAGGGCTTCATAACCAGCCGAACACCAGCGCTTTTCTTGCTGCTGAAGAAAATTAAATTTCTCCTTGGAGAAATGAGCTTTGTTGGGTTTTCCCCTTTATCCTCCTTTTCCTTGTATCACAAGAAAGTACGCTAGCCGAAACGAGACATCTCTAACAGACCAGAGGACAAAGACAGTACCAGTCCCTCCGCACTACCGCCGACACAACAGTGTGCTGGAGGACAGCAGGGCCAAAACAGCTATTTTCTCTTAAAAATAGCTGGAAAAGAGATCCACATATATGTTTTATTTCCTCCAGTATAAACTGACCACACCCAGGACTCGATATTCATTTTTCTAATAAATGGCAAAAAAAATCAGATGTGACATAGTATACGACATAGTACTTCTAACAATTTCTCTAAAAAGAAACAAACTACTCCCGAAAACATGCTGATACCAAAACATAGCACAAACGGCCCCTCTGGGCTTCACCGGAGAACCGCAATCAGGGAGTCAACGAATGAAAAGGGTTTCTCCAAAACAGGTGATGCCAGCAGGCCTATGATAAAATATAAGGTGAGCTAAACTTGCAGAAAAAATACTGCATTTATAAGCAACAAATGTGCCTGCGGATCGGTTGGTCAAGGGACTGCACACATGGAATGAGTAGCGTCCTTGTACCCAGGCAGGCTGCGGAGCAGGGGCAGGGGGTTCTCGCTGCCAACATCCAGCTACTGCGGCTGGCATGGTGAAAGCCATATTTTTCTCTCCTTTCCTGCTCTGTGGATACTTTGTGTTGAATGCACAGTTGGTATCGGAGCTAAGTCCAAAGACTGTCACATGTGGGATTTCCTAATGCGGAGACCTGGCAGTGCTGGGCTGAGTTCAGCCAAAAAACGAAACACAAATGACACTACCTCAAAATGTCACAACTGAGCATCCTCATTCCCTTGCAGCGCTTTCATTTAGTTGGAGCAAACGTTCTGCTTTAATGCAATTGAAAAGAAAAGAACATTTAGGTACGACATAGCTAGATCCCTCAGAAAGCTTCATTTTCAAAAGCACCATTTGAATCACCAAATAAACGACATTTCATTCTCTGTTTACTGTAGGTAAACAAAATGCATTGTGCAGCGCTCATTTTCAAGAGCCAGTCAAGAACATTAGGTCCCAACAGACTCATGTAATAGAAATATAATAGGCATTCATTCATCTTGTCTCACTGAAAATGCTAAAATGAACAGCAAATTAACCCTGTGCTGGGACAGAGTCCCTGTCACAGCTGATATCCTCTCTCTCACGACTTGTAAACATCCCCACATCCTGTCGCTGATCTGACTTCTACGTAGGAAAGACGACAGTGCCTGATTGAGTCTGGCAAGAGTATAGGAATACTTGAATTCCACAGGGAGTACTGTGTGTCAGCTCGGCTATCTTTCCTAGCAGAACAAAATATTACCATGTTGTCTCCTAAAATAGTGCACGATGGGAAGCAGGAGGAAGGGCGAGGGTGGCAGGGTGTTTTTTTCCCAAGCTACATATACCAACTGTCTCAACTCTGTATTTTGCACGCTATGAACCATTCTCCAAAGGGTTGCTTATAACCTACTGTGCAATACAAGCTCAGAAAGACAGGGCCACCCAAGCTCTACAAGCAGATACAAAAGATGTGCACACAATTTGAGATCTTATAATTAATATTCAGTGATATCAGAATTAGCATTTAGAACTCTATACAGAACAACTGTAATACTGCATAAATTAGGTAATAATAAACAAACCCTTTCAAAAACGGTTTTCACTGTGCTAAAGTCACATTCTAGACTTGTTGTAAGTGTGTGATTCTTACAAGTAGTTCGCAGTTATTCTTGAAGGCAAGCCTTGGAGTTTCCTTAGCATAGTGCTGCTGGGGGAAATTTTCAGCATGTCCATCTTCATCTCTAGCCTGAAGGGAAATATAATGGCCTATTTAGGGACTTACAAATAATGGAAGAAAAAAAAAAGCTAAAAGCATAACAGCTCAGATCATTCAACAAATGGGAACCCAGAAATAACAACATTCTTAAGAAGTTTGTTTAAATACGCAGTACGCCTTTTAGCTATCAAAATTTGGGATTTACTTTTCTTTACACCGTTTAGTTTGAACACGCACATTCATTGTGGTGTAATATTTGAAATGAAACAAAGCAAACCAACATCAAATCATTTTGTTGGAAATCACCACCACTTTAGTCTCCCAGGGACTCTGGCCGCTCATTTAGGATTATATGACATACATACGTGTTTAAACTTTTTGGCATGCTTAAGCAATCTCTAGATAATGCACTTTAGAAAAAAAATTCGAATAGCAAGGCCATAAGAAAAGCAATTCGCATAATTATATTTTGCATTGTAATACTATTAGAGATAAACTGATTCCCCTTGATTTTTAAACAAAAATCTGAAGGTGCAATGATCTAGCAAGAACAATGAAGTCTTCAATCAAATGCAGTAAAAAAAATATAGATTCAATTAAGAAGCTGCATTAAAAGTTACTGGTTGTTTTGATCTACACTGTTAATTAAGAAAGCTGAGGTTTAAATGGAGACATTAACAGAACCCATTAGCAATCCCGCTTGCATCCAGTCCTCTCCGTCTAAGCCCCAGCGGGTTTCCGGTGTGGAGTTGGAGAGAAGGAAGAGGTGGGTGAAAGGAGGTGTGTCTGCAGCGCACTCACGAAACCACTCGCTTGGGGGACACTTGCTCTCGGCTCTGCTCCCCTCTCCTGGCCCTGACTGTGTGCTCTTTCCTGGCCTCCTGAAGTCCGCAGCTGAGCTGTCTCCCTCACATACGGCTTGCATATCATTATGCATATTCCATTTTGCACTGCATTAAAATGATGAGCTCCTGGCTCCCTGCCAGCTGATTTTAAAAAGCCCAAGTGAAATAGGAAAAAGGAGAGAAACACAGGGAGAGCCGCACAGGAAGCACAGGTACTTCTGTCTGCTTCTCTTTAGATCAAACGCCTGTCTGGCACCGGGAACAGCTGAGAACTACCTGTTGTGATGTATGGATCGAGGGGGAGAAGATGATGAGCCTCCGTCCGGGGTGCAGAGATGACAGTGCTTAGGGACTGTCTCTCCTTGAATGGAGAGAAATCTGCCCACTAAAGAGTACCACTCAGAGCTCCTCGGCTAGACTGGCGATGGTCGTTTTAGAAAGAGATCTGTGTTTTGTACCTCTTAGAATGTACAGTTGCTTTTTAATAAAGGCGTCTGCTGCTTATTGCAGGGAGGGAACGGGGTGGGATCGGGGAGTGGAGTGTGGTGGGCCGGGATGGCTGGGTCACGTAGTGTGCCGGGAAAGAGGTTGGTTTCATCTGGGGGAATTATGAACATCTCTGGGATTTGGTGCCTTTTTATGGGACTTCTCCCCACCCCAACCAGACCAGAGCACAGTTACAGGACTGGACTGCACGTGACGGAGAACAGCATACGTGTTGTTCACGTCCAACGGTCATCAAGGCACCAGATCGGACGCTCCCTCCCACCACATCTGTTCTGCCTGGTGCTGCATCAAGGGGTAAGTCACGACAGCCTTAAGTGGGAGCCATTTGCAAGTGGAGTGTATGAATAAAATGCCGTAGGATGCCAAGGGGGAGCGGCAACGTTAGACTCGTCCCGAGGGAACTGGCTGCCCCGTGTGCGATCTCCAGAAGGCAGGCACTACACCTGCTCATCTTTCTTACTCCGCCACACCGAGTACCTTACTTTTAGCCAGTGCTTAGCAAACATTTGAGTGATGGAAAAACCCCACCACCCGCGGATGGTAACTAGACCCTTCCATAACAGCTCTGTCGGAAATGCCACAGCCAAATATGCTTAACTTGATGGTAGGTTTCTTCTGTTCCTGATGCACTATGATACGTATGCTTGGAAACACACTCTGCATATAGTTGACAAGGGCTACTATTTACATACATGTCTATAGTCAATATATGTATCTTGTGTATAAATATTCATAAGGTGGAATATGTTTATTATGTATGTACTATGTACACACATTCATACACACCAGATGCCTGGGGATACTTTCAACGTTAGTGGCAAAAAATGCATTCATTCCACTTACACGTAAGGTGCTCACAAAGCTTTTTATGTTTTTAAAAGACAAAAAAAAAAAATCCCATTATCCAAGATATGAATGTGCTTCCTCCAAGGGGCTATAGATTTCATATAAAGCCTCATAATTTATGAGGTTGAATAAAGCAGAGAAAGGAGGGGGTGTTGGGGTGACTGGAAGTGAAGAGAGAGCCAGGAATGGGCTGCTTTGCTGAGCCGTCTCTGCCTCTGCATTGGCCCCCACGACCCTTGGAACGCCTGCCCCAGACCCTCAGCCTGACGCCAGCTCCCGGGAATTCCACCCTCCCGCCACACGGACAGAAAGCACTCGACACCCAGGGAGACCCAGCGCCACTGCCCGCCCGTGTGTGCACACGTGAGCACTCACACGCCTCTCACCAAAGTAACTCCCTTTGCTTTCGGACATTTTGTAATATAAAATGGTAAATCACTATTACCAGACTGAGTGGGAGCATCTGGGATTTTCTTTTTAACATATTGGCGCCTGTCCTCCCCCTCTTCACCACCTTTCCAAGATTCCGATTTAATCGGGCCAGGGTGGGGCCTGGACATGGGTGTTTTTCTAAAAAAGCTCTCAGGTGACTGGACTGCATACGCGGGGCTCAGCACCACTGATCTAAGAAGCGTGCCGGGAGGCAGGCCACCAGAGGAAGCCCCTGGGAGTGGGCACAGGGCTCTCTGACCATGTCCACAGGCCACACGAGACAGAGAAAGGAGTGGCCAGGTGGTCTCACTCTAAAGATTCAAGAGATGACATGACTAGCTGCCTGTGGGCAAAAGTCCTCTTTGTTTATTATTTATTTTTAGTGCCTGGTGGCACAAGTCATTTTCGAAGAACTACTATGCCACGTCTTCAAAAAGCGCCTTCCTGGACCTCTGCCCGAGGCACACATCTCCATCGGCCCCCTCACAGACTTGACGCAGGGGCAACCTACGCTGGCTGCTGTGACTTTTGTCTCCCCCAAGATCGTGCCCAACTGCAAGCTTCCCTGGGGCCGAGGTGCTGTCCGGCTTCTCCTCCATGTGCTTCAGCCTCACCACCACCTGGCACACAGGGCGTGTCTGGAGGCACGAGCTCCGTCACCATCCTCAGCAGCTTGGCGGAGGCCATCGACAGCATCCTCCTTACCCTACAGGCATGGGGTCTTGGCGTGTTGTGTAGCCTCTTCTGTGTTGAAGCCAGCGTCTTATCCTGCATCTGCCTCGTTTGAGCGGTAGACCACTGTGTATAAGGGGGGTAAACAGAGGGAGCCCATGACCCCCTGGGGGAGGAGTGTGTGGGTCCCAAAGATGTTCTCAATCACCAGTCTTGGCAATGACATGAAGCAGACTGACTTTCAGCCGGGTTTATTATTGTTCTTAAATTCCCTGCAGACGATGCGCTCCCTAATTGCCATCCTGTGGAGGGCCACCCCACTGCCGGCTCCTGGTACCCACTGGGGCCAGAAGACCTGCGTTGATGTCTGACTTTGTTCTGGAGTGACCAGGGCTGACAGAAGGAATGTCAAGACCCATCACGATGAGCTAACACGCTCCATGTGTTCTCAGTGCCATTCTCAACGGCCTTATTCTGAATAATATACTAGGTACTCGTGCCAACTAGGGGGAGAAGCAAATGAAAAGCCATGTTTTACATTTGACTATAGATGTGATTCTAAGGCCAAAGGTACATTTTTGATCAGTTATTCTAAGACGCCTTCATTCCTTGCCACAAAAGAAGAAAATAAACATCTACCCTGCAAGGGGATTTCCCCATCTTGCTGACAGTCACGCATCCATTGTTTACCATTTGAATAAATCCTAGATTATGTGAGAAACTCAGACAAAATGCCTCTCTGCTTCAAAAACCTCTGGCTTAACCATCATATCCACCTCTCTTTCCCTGTGAGCACCACTAATTCCCTTTTAAATTTCAAACTTTCTCTTTCAAAGAATTCACCTCTCCCTTTGGGCCAAAGCCTTTGCTGTCACGTGCATACTCAAGCGAGATCACCACTTTTCCCCCCCGGAGGACTCCTTTAGAGAATGTGGATCATTCTAAATACAGCCCCCACAAAAGTGCAATGTTTCTGACTCTGTGTAAAGGTTGATGCTGTCTCCATTTTCGTGGGAAGATAACTAGGCTGGAGAGTCAGGACCTCCCTGTATTGCCTGGGATTTTACATCTCTCTGTCTCTGTCACTTCAGAATTTCTTTCGGAAACAGGAGAAGGTTCTGCCGGGGGCCGGAGCTGGGGAGAGCACGGCCCAGCCTCCAGACGCCGCTCTCTGAGGCCCTGGCTGCGCAGCCCCCGTCGGCTCTCACGTGTGGGGCCGTCGCCCCACTTGGCAACAGCAAAACTAGTGCCTCTCAAAGTTGGGGGAGTGAGTTTGTAGAGGATGAGTTGTAGAGAAAAAAATTCATATTTTATAGCCAATTTTTGGAACCAGAAGTAATAGATTTTTTTTTTTTCAAAATTCAAGATAAAAGCGTGGGGACACTCCTTCTGAAGACTCTGCGATTTCATTTTCTGATACCCCATCTCTCACCTACACACATTCTCCGGAAGATGCTCAGGGCAGAATGAATGGCAGTGTCACCTGAGGCCTTTCTGTGGGCCAGGAACACCTCTGTGAGTTGACAGGAAGGTCAGCCCAGTTTCTCTGCCCCTCGGTGACGTTCAGCCATTGTGGGCCTGGGGCTAGAGTCACACAGGGAGGCCTGCAGAGAAGCTCTGTTTCTGCTTGAATTACTGCCCAGTTATCCTCTTCTCTGTGGCCCAGCTTCTCATGACAACGCCCAGTTCCCTTCAGACTGGACTCCCGTCCTTTATCCCACTTTATAA